ATTTATTTAAATATACATATATGTATATGTATGTGTATGTTATTTATATGGCTGGTTTAAGTGGACAACATGCTTTCCGTTTTCCTTTTTTAGTTATATATTTTATTTTTGCGCTATCGGCTAATTATTGTTCGTCTTTCCTAACTCCTTCTTTCTTGTCATCTTCGTCGTCGTGTACATTGTTCATTGTTTCTTGGGTGTGCGAATCAAGTGAAACTCTACTCTACCTGACGCATTTTCTTCTAAACTGTTTAACTTAATAATTAAATTGAATTCAAATATCTTATTACGCATTATGTATATATGACTAGCTTGATGGGGGAATTCGAATAATAAACCTAAACTTTGGTTGCTTATTTCGTTTGGTTTTTCTTTCGGTATTTTTCCATTTTGGTATTTTGCTTTTCTTCTTTTGTTTTCTTTGCCTTGTTTCTGTTGCAAGTACACAGTCGCCTTAGTCCTCCAAATTTCTGAAGGCCTGCTGCAGATCCTCATACAGCTGATCGTAGTCTGCCTTAATCTTTTGCTCACCATCCTTCACAGGATCCTTATGAGAGCGAAAAAGAGAAATTCATTAGATTCGACCCGTCTGTCTCAATCAATTTCAAATACTCACCTTGAATTTCATTGAAGACAACTGATACATAATGCCGCCCATTGACTCCCTGATCGTGTTCCATGTAATCTTATTGTCCGACTGGGCGGTGGACTCAACTGCGTGACGCGCCGTCTCGTAAAAAGCTAGAATATTTCTCAACATGCCGACAGTTTTATAGAAGGGACACACTCGGTCATATGGCGAGTAGGAGTTCTGTTGCAAGAAATCGTCCTTCAGCAGCTTGGCCACCTCCAGAGTAACCTTATCGGTCTCGGCCAGCGATGCTTTGCCCACCAACTGCACGATTTCGGACAGATCTTCCTCCTCCTGCAAAATCTCCTTGACTTTGGTACGCAACGGCACGAATTCGGGGAAGTTTTTGTCATAGTATTCGTCCAGAGCACGCATATATTTGGAATAGGAAATGAGCCAGTTGATGGAAGGGAAATGTTTGCGTTGGGCCAGCTTCTTGTCGAGACCCCAGAACACCTGTACAATACCCAAGGTAGCCGAGGTCACGGGATCGGAGAAATCACCACCAGGGGGCGAGACAGCGCCGACAATGGACACGGAGCCCTCACGCTCGGGATTACCCAAGCACTTGACGCGTCCAGCGCGTTCATAGAATGTGGCCAAACGAGCGCCCAAATACGCCGGATAACCCGAATCGGCAGGCATTTCAGCCAGACGGCCAGATATTTCTCGCAAGGCCTCGGCCCAACGGGAGGTGGAGTCTGCCATCATGGCCACATTGTAGCCCATATCACGGAAATATTCGGAAAGTGTGATGCCTGTGTAGATGGAAGCCTCACGAGCAGCCACGGGCATGTTGGAGGTGTTGGCCACCAGAGCTGTGCGCTTCATGATGGACTCTGTGACGCCGTCAATTTCGCAAGTCAGTTCCGGGAAGTCACGCAATACCTCAGACATCTCATTGCCTCGCTCGCCGCAGCCGACGTAAATGATGACATCAGAGTTGGAGTACTTGGACAAGGCCTATGAATTGCATAAGAGTGATCAGGGATTCTAAAAGCTAGTCAATCAATTTTAACATACCTGCGAGATGACAGTCTTGCCACAGCCGAAGGCACCAGGAATGGCTGTGGTGCCACCCTGGACGCAAGGGAACAGCGAATCAAGTACACGTTGACCAGTGAAGAGAGGATGATTGGCCGGCAGCTTCTCGGTGCAGGGGCGCGGCTGGCGCACAGGCCACACCTGCAGCATTGTATGTTTTGTGATCTCGCCATCGAATTCCGTCTCCAGCACAACGTCCTCCAGATTGTAGTTACCCGCTGGTGCAATATAGCGTACTGTGCCCTTGGCACGCGGCGCCACAAGCATGCGCTGCTTGACCAATGTGTTCTCATGCACAACGCCGTACAAGTCGCCGCCCGTGATGTGGGAGCCAACGCGCACATTCAAGGGATTGAACTCCCACATTTCGCTGCGCGACAAGGCGGGCGTGTTCACACCCTTGGGTATATATATAGAGCTAGTCATGATACCAATGTCCCGCAGTGGACGTTGAATACCATCAAAGATACTGCCCATAATGCCAGGGCCCAGCTCCACGGACAAGGGCTTACCCGTTCGCAGCACCGGATCACCGACTGTGACACCTGAGGTTTCCTCGTATACCTGGATGGTGGCCATGTCGCCCTCCAGGCGAATGATTTCGCCTACCAGCTCATAGTAGCCCACACGTACCAGCTCGTACATAGCAGAGCCCGACATGCACTCTGCCGTAACGACTAAAGGGGTGGTTGGGGAGGAGAAAATAATATAGATGTAGATGTAGATGGGCGGGTCAGCAGGTGAAGGACAAAGGTGACGTCTTACCCGGACCAGAGACAGCGTACACGCGACCGTATTCGGACTCGCGGTCCTCGTCTTTGAATTTCCTCAGGTTAGACATGTTTGAGGTGAGTTCGATTCAACTGCAACGGTCGAAATTCGTTTGCTAATCATGCATGCAAAAGAACAACAGTAAATGTATTTTTACTTTATTTTCTTTTTTCATTATAAACAAACACACATTTTGCACGCTTGTTTTTGTGACAGAAATGATGAGGGAAAAAAACTAGATGGCGCTGCTGTGGGCAGTTGCCAAGCAGCCCCCAGTGAAAGCTTCAAACCCCCGCAGCAGCAGCAGCAGCCAACGATCGATTTTTCCACACAAAATTTCACATTTGCCACCCACAGTTAACATGAACAGTTTTTATTTTATAATTTAACTGTAACTATCATCACTTCATAAAGCCTTGCATATTTCTAGGCACTTTAAACTATTCCTTACTCCCTTTTTTAACGGAAGTTCATAAGTTTTGCTAGTTGGAAAATCGCTTTTACTCACATTTGTTTTAGCTCTTATGAAAATTCTCAGCAGACTGAGTTTCTATTTTAATCTAGATTGGCAGCGCCTCAAGTTTTCCAATACATTAGGAAAGTTCTGATCGATTATATCATAAAAATTTTAATCGATAGTCGAATGTCATGGTCAGCACTAGCAAAGAATGCTAGAAGCACTTAAAATTAAAATGTATGCATTTAAAATATATTTATAATACCTTATTTTGTGCATAATCAACTTCAGTATTTGAAGAGCAAAACTATACATATTTAACTAATTTAAATATCTAACAGTATTGAGTAAAATAACAATTTGAAGGTAAACTCAATTAAACTAAAGCGGTATTATATGTAAAATCAAGCTCATTACGTATTTTAAAATATGATACATTAACTATATTTATATTTTTTCAGTTAAATATTTTTACAAATGAATCGCGCGCCTTACGCATTTTCATTACGTGCAGAAGTACCCTAAATATGAACTGCTATCGAAGCTGCGAACTATCGATATATGGATTATCGGGCATTTGGAGCTAGTTGAACAGTCATTCACATCTCTACTACCTTCTCGGCTGCAAAACAAACTTCTCGCGAAAACAGGGGGTCAAGTGAATTTCAGAACGAGATATATCTCTAAAAGTACATCCATTAAGATTGTCGCACTGCAACGCATAACACAAACATGTGAAAGTGTCGAACGCAAACTATACAATATTGCGTGACGTGCCCAGACAGATTCAGACTCCGGGCAAACAAATTATAACCTCAAAGTCTCGACTGGACGTGGGTGCACCTGCTTAGTATTGCAGGCGCTTGGGGAATTCCCCAGACCCTAGAAACTATTGAACGTAAACATGTCAACATCTTCGATTGTGCAGCAGTTCGTCAACGGACTAAAGTCCCGCAACCGCAATGTCCAAAACAAGGCGGCGCAGGATCTATTCCTGTATGTCAAAACCGAGCTGCGCGAAATGTCGCAGGAGGAGTTGGTTCAGTTCTTTGATGACTTCGACCATCACATCTTCAACATGGTCAATGCAGCGGATATCAATGAAAAGAAGGGTGGTGCCCTGGCCATGAGTGAGTAAATAATTCCTGTGGAGTATTATGAGCTATGGCCGCAGCTAATGCTCTTTTCTCTTTTTTTTTTTTCAGAGTGCCTCATAAGTGGTGACGCTTTGATAACACGCAAAGGCATCTCACCATACCTCAATCGTTTACGCGATCTGTTGCTTATCAACGATGTCTCAGTGATGGAAATTGCGGCTCGCTCACTGGTGAAGCTGGCCAATATGCCAGGGTCAAAGGGCGCAGAATCATTCGATTTTGATATAAAGAAGGCATTTGAAATGCTTAGCGGCGATCGGCAGGAGGTGCGTAACTATACATATATATAGATATTGCAATAATGATTTAATGGAATGTTCCTTTGGTTTTATTCTGACAGTATCGTCGTCACGCTGCCGTCTTCATTTTACGTGAGCTGGCGATTGCGTTGCCCACGTATTTTTATCAGCAAATTCTAACGTTTTTCGATCACATTTTCAATGCCATCTTTGACCCGAAGCCAGCGATACGTGAATCTGCAGGCGAGGCATTGCGCGCCGCACTCATCGTAACTGTGCAACGTGAGAGCACAAAGCAATCGAGTGAGCCGCAATGGTATAAGATCTGCTACGATGAGGCCAGCAGCAGCTTCAACACCGATGTCCTGCCGGGCAAGGAGCAAAAGGGCATGACTCGCGACGATCGCATACACGGCGGTCTCATTGTCTTCAATGAGTTATTTCGCTGTGCTAATGCGAACTGGGAACGTCGATATACAACGCTCAAGAAGCTGTTTCCCAAGCCGCATCACAATAAGTTCCTGGACACCAGCAGCTCCTCATCAGTTGGCAGCCAACTGACCACCATTGTGCCACGCCTCAAGGTGCCTTTCGTCGACAAGCTGGGCAGCACCCAGATGCAAATGGATAGCGAGCAGCACAATGGCATTGGCAACAAATTGACCAGTGTAAGAAGAAGAATCCATTTCATATTAATCAAGTTGCAAGAAATCGATTGAAGAGGTGTTTTTTCGTCCCAGTCATTGATGCAGTCGTTCTGAATCTATTTTATCTAAAATTAATTTCTGTCATAGTTAGTTACTAATTCCTTTTTCGCTTGCAGCACAACGTACTGGACTCAGCCTACGCCAGCGAGATTCTTAAGAAGCACTTCAAAACCATCTGCGACAATGTGTTGGAGCAGCGTTCATCAAAGTCGCTGTATGTGCAACAGGGACTGCTTCAGATCCTGCCACGTTTGGCTGCTTTCAATCGCGAAGTGTTCGTGGCCCAGTACCTGGAGACCTGCGTAGCTCACTTGATGGCCATATTGCGTGGCAAGGAAAAGGATCGCAATGTGGCCTACATTACGATTGGCTACATCGCCGTCGCTGTCGAGAACGATATAGAGAAGCATCTGAAGAACATTATGGCTAGCATTAAACAGGCGCTGCCCGCAAAGGATTTGGCCAGCAAACGCAAATCGCCTGTGGATGCGGCGGTGTTCGCTTGCATCACGCTGCTGGCCCATGCGGTGAAATCGCAGATCGCAGACGATGTACGCGAAATCCTCGAGCAAATGTTTCACACGGGTCTCTCGCCAGCGCTGACTGTTTGTCTGCGCGAATTGGCCGAAAATGTGCCGCAGCTGAAGGCGGCCATCACGAATGGTCTGATCGTTGTGCTCTTCCAGGTGCTGATGAACAAGTCGGCGACCATACCATATGCCACAATGCCGCCGATTACAATTGACGCCTCGCTGATGCTGCAGACCGTCGATACCGCCACAATTGTGCTGGCGCTCCGTACACTGGGCACCTTTAATTTCGAGGAGCAGAATATGCTGGACTTTGTGCAACGGTGAGTGCATCATTGAATCCTTAATGGCATATATTAATTCATATCGCTCTGTTTTAGCTGCGCGGATTACTTCATAGTGCATGAGCAGCAGGAAATTCGCCTCGAAGCGGTGCAAACGTGCACGCGCCTGCTCAAGCTCGCCGTACAGTCATCGGAGAGTATGGAGAACTCGAAGACGTTAAGTGACACGGTTTCCCATGTGATTGAACGGCTGCTGTCTGTGGCCATCACTGACATGGATTACAATGTACGCATACGCATTCTTCGCTCGCTGGATGAGACTTTCGATGCTAAGCTGGCCCAGCCGGAATCGTTGAATGCTCTGTTCATAACACTGCACGATGAAATCTTTGAGATTCGTGAACTTGCCATGGTCACCATTGGGCGGCTGTCCTCCATGAATCCGGCTTATGTGATGCCCAAACTGCGCACCACCATGATTGAGCTGCTCACGGACTTGAAGTACTCGGGCATGAGTCGCAATAAGGAGCAAAGCGCACGTATGCTGGATCATCTAGTCATTAGCACGCCGCGTCTTATATCATCCTACATGAATCCGATTCTGAAGGCGCTAGTGCCCAAGCTGCATGAACCGGAATCGAATCCTGGTGTTGTGCTGAATGTACTGCGCACAATCGGAGATCTGGCCGAGGTCAATGGCGGCTCCAATGAAATGGAGCTGTGGGCGGATGATCTGCTTTCCATACTGCTCGAGATGCTGGGCGATGCTGGTAGTCCGGACAAGCGCGGCGTTGCGCTCTGGACGCTGGGGCAGCTGATAAGCGCCACGGGCCGTGTGGTCACCCCCTATCACAAATATCCGGTGTTGATTGATATCCTGATCAACTTCCTGAAGACCGAACAGCGTCGCTCCATACGCCGCGAAACAATACGTGTGCTGGGCTTGCTTGGTGCCATGGATCCGTACAAGCACAAGATGAACAAGGGCCTGATCGATAGCCAGAAGGATAACGTGCTGATTGCTTACTCGGACGGCAAGACAGACGAGAGCCAGGACATTTCCACGGCCGAGCTGCTTGTGAACATGGGCAATGCTCTTGATGAATATTATCCGGCGGTGGCCATTGCCGCACTAATGCGCATTCTGCGCGATCCCACGCTGAGCACACGCCACACCAGCGTCGTCCAGGCCGTCACCTTCATCTTCCACACGCTGGGCATCAAGTGTGTGCCGTATTTGGCACAGGTGCTGCCCAATCTGCTGGACAATGTGCGCACCGCGGACAACAATCTGCGCGAGTTCCTCTTCCAGCAACTGGCGATTCTGGTTGCCTTTGTCAAGCTGCACATCATTAGCTACATGGACGACATCTTTAAGCTGATCAAGGAATTCTGGACAATCAATACGCCGCTGCACTCCACGCTGATCAACCTAATCGAACAGATTGCCGTAGCGCTGGGCTGCGAGTTCCGTGACTACTTGGCGCAGCTCATACCGCAAATTTTGCGTGTGCTGCAGCATGACAACTCCAAGGATCGAATGGTGACGCGGCGACTGCTGCAGGCGCTGCAGAAATTCGGCAGCACGCTGGGCTACTACTTGCCGCTGATTGTGCCGCCGATTGTCAAGTTCTTTGACTCGCCGTATGTGCCTCAGCAGGTGTCTCTGGTGGCGATGGAAACGATCAACAGTTTGGCCAGCCAGCTGGACTTCACGGACTTCTCCTCGCGCATCATACATCCATTGGTGCGTGTGCTGGACACAGAGCCGGAGCTGCGCGATCAGGCAATGACAACGCTGCGCTCCCTGGTCAAGCAGCTGGGCAAGAAGTATCTGGTGTTTGTGCCTATGGTGCAGCGCACCATAACTAAGCATCGCATTGAAGATACCGAATACAACAATCTGCTCAGCCGCATTAAATCCAATAGCACCTTGGCGGACGCCTCGGGCATCGGCTCTGGCATCGGCGGCGACTTTGGCCAGCGACAGGCAAAGCCCAAATACAATGAGCCCTTTGTGCTGGACAGCAACAGCAGCAGCAAGAATCTAAAGGTCTCGACGAATGCGTTACGCACCGCTTGGCAGGTGACGCGTCGGGTCTCCAAAGACGACTGGATGGAGTGGCTCAAGCGATTGTCCATAGGTCTGCTCAAGGAGTCGCCCTCGCATGCATTGCGCGCCTGCTGTGTGCTGGCCCAGGATTATGATACACTGCTGCGGGATTTGTTTAATGCGGCTTTCATATCCTGCTGGACAGAGCTGTCGCCCGAGCATCGGTACGAGCTAACCCAGTCGCTCATACAGGCGCTGCAGGTCACGGACATGCCGGAGATTACACAGACCATACTCAACCTGGCAGAGTTTATGGAGCACTGTGATCGTGCTCCCATTCCCATAGAGACACAATTGCTGGGTACCCATGCCATGGCCTGTCGGGCGTACGCAAAGGCCTTGCGCTACAAGGAGGAGGAGTTTGTGCCGCGTCAGGAGCCGCATGTGTTCGAGTCGCTGATCCATATCAACAACAAGCTGCAGCAGCGCGAAGCAGCCGAAGGCCTCCTGACCACCTATCGCAACTCGGGCAACGAGGCCAGCGTTCATGGTCGCTGGTATGAGAAGCTGCACAACTGGGAGCAGGCATTACATCATTACCAGCTCAATCTGCGAGCGGATACCAACGATCTGGAGGCACGTCTTGGTCACATGCGCTGCCTGGAGGCCCTGGGCGACTGGTCACAGTTGAGCAATCGCTGTAAAGAGGAATGGCCCAACTTCAGTGCGGAGGCCAAGGCACGTGCGAGTCCCTTGGCCGCTGTTGCCGCCTGGGGCCTGAAGGATTGGGAGGGCATGCAGGAATATGTGCGCTGCATACCCGTGGACACTCAAGACGGTAGCTTCTATCGTGCTGTGCTTGCGGTGCATCACGATGACTTCGAGACGGCACAGCGTCTGATTGATGAGACGCGCGATCTGCTGGACACCGAACTAACCTCCATGGCTGGGGAGTCCTATGAGCGGGCCTACGGTGCAATGGTCTGTGTGCAAATGCTGGCCGAGCTGGAGGAGGTGATACAATACAAACTGATACCCGAACGACGGGAACCGCTAAAGGCCATGTGGTGGAAGCGTCTGCAGGGCGGACAGCGTTTGGTTGAGGACTGGCGTCGCATCATCCAGGTTCACTCTCTGGTTGTGAAGCCCCACGAGGATATACACACCTGGCTCAAGTATGCCAGCCTGTGTCGCAAGAGCGGCTCCTTGAATTTGTCGCACAAGACGCTAGTGATGCTGCTGGGCACTGATCCGGCACTCTCGCCCAATGACCCACTGCCGTGCAATCAGCCGCAGGTTACCTATGCCTATACCAAATATCTGGCTGCCTCCTCCAAAGAGTTGGCGTACAAGAAGCTGCTCGATTTTGTCAACACGTACAGCGCCCAGTTGAACTGTGTGCCGCCGGAGGCACAGAAGCCGCAGGACCAGCGTCTAATGGCGCGCTGCTATCTGCGCCTCGCCACCTGGCAGAACAAACTGCACGAGAACCGACCCAATCAAGAGGCAGTGCAAGGTGCTTTGGAGTGCTTCGAGAAGGCGACAGACTACGATCCCAATTGGTACAAGGCCTGGCATCTGTGGGCCTACATGAACTTCAAGGTGGTGCAGTCCCAGAAGCAGGCGCTGGAAAATCCACGCCAGCAATCGCCGGCGACCATGGGCCTGGGCCTGGACAGCGAAAGTCTGATCATTCAGCAGTATGCGGTGCCGGCGGTGCATGGATTCTTCCGCTCCATCAGCCTCATCCGCGGGAATTCGCTGCAGGACACGCTGCGTCTGCTGACGCTGTGGTTTGATTATGGCAATCATGCCGAGGTCTATGAAGCTCTCTTCTCCGGCATGAAACAGATTGAAATCAATACCTGGCTGCAAGTGATTCCACAGCTAATTGCACGCATCGACACGCATCGCAAGCTGGTGGGTCAGCTTATCCATCAGCTGCTCATGGACATTGGCAAGAATCACCCGCAGGCGCTTGTCTATCCCCTGACCGTGGCCTCCAAGTCCGCTTCGCTGGCGCGCAAGACGGCCGCCTTCAAGATCCTCGACTCGATGCGGAAGCATTCGCCGACGCTCGTCGAGCAGGCGGTCATGTGCAGCGAGGAGCTTATACGGGTGGCCATCCTCTGGCACGAGCAGTGGCACGAAGGATTGGAGGAAGCCAGTCGCCTCTACTTTGGGGACCGCAATGTGAAGGGCATGTTTGAGATTCTGGAGCCATTGCATGCGATGCTGGATCGCGGACCACAGACACTCAAGGAGACCTCCTTCTCGCAGGCCTATGGCCGTGAGCTGACCGAGGCGTATGAGTGGACACAACGCTATAAGACCTCGGCCGTACTCATGGACTTGGATCGTGCCTGGGATATCTATTATCATGTGTTCCAGAAGATTTCACGTCAGCTGCCGCAGCTGACATCGCTCGAACTGCCTTATGTGTCGCCCAAGCTGATGACCTGCAAGAACCTGGAGCTGGCTGTGCCTGGGTCCTATAATCCCGGCCAGGAGCTGATACGCATCAATCACATCAAGACCAATCTGCAGGTGATCACGTCCAAGCAGCGGCCGCGCAAACTCTGCATACGTGGGTCCAACGGCAAGGACTACATGTATTTGCTGAAGGGTCACGAGGATCTGAGGCAGGACGAGCGTGTAATGCAGCTCTTTTCGCTGGTCAATACGCTGCTACTCGACGATCCCGACACGTTCCGTCGTAACCTGGCCATCCAGCGCTACGCCGTCATCCCGCTAAGCACAAACTCTGGATTGATCGGCTGGGTGCCGCACTGTGATACGCTACATACGCTGATCCGCGACTATCGCGACAAGAAGAAGGTTCCGCTCAACCAGGAGCATCGCACTATGCTGAACTACGCGCCCGATTACGATCATCTGACGCTGATGCAAAAGGTCGAGGTGTTCGAGTATGCCCTGAGTCAGACCCAGGGCGATGATCTCGCCAAGCTGCTGTGGCTGAAGTCGCCGTCGTCGGAGCTGTGGTTCGAGCGGCGCAACAATTACACACGCTCATTAGCCGTCATGTCCATGGTGGGCTATATACTCGGTCTGGGTGATCGTCATCCCTCCAATTTGATGTTGGATCGCATGAGTGGTAAAATATTGCATATAGATTTTGGTGATTGTTTCGAGGTGGCCATGACCCGTGAGAAGTTCCCCGAGAAGATACCCTTCCGACTGACACGGATGCTCATAAAGGCGATGGAAGTGACGGGCATTGAGGGCACCTATCGACGCACCTGCGAGAGTGTCATGCTGGTGCTGCGTCGCAACAAAGACTCGCTGATGGCTGTGCTGGAAGCGTTCGTCTACGATCCGCTGCTCAACTGGCGTCTGCTCGATGTGGACAAGAAGGGCAACGACACAACAACCGCCGGCGGTGCCAGCGGCGGTAGTGCCAGTAACTCCATAGAGCAGGAGTCGCTGCTGCAGGGCAACCCAGTGGCCAAATCCAAGACGTACGAGGCACAGCAACTCCACGGTGGATACACTAACGTGGCCGATGTGACCAACAGCAAGGCCAGCATGGTCATACAGCGGGTCCATCGCAAGCTGACCGGCACAGATTTCCAAATGTCCGAAATGACCGAGCAGCAACAGGTGGAGCTGCTCATACAGCAGGCGACGAACAATGAGAACCTCTGTCAGTGCTATATTGGCTGGTGTCCCTTCTGGTAATTGACCATGTGTCCTATCCAATCAATCTCCAGGCCATGCACCCATCTGAGACTGAGCGAATAAAACAAATATATGCAGTTACGATAATACGAACACAAACACACAATTGAACATAAAACTATGTATATGTATAATTTATATTAGAAATACGCTTCATTAAAACTTTATTGTAAATTCCAGTTGCAATTAAATTCCAAATTCTGTTAAGCACGAGCCAAGCTGTGGCACCTAATCAACATTTGGGGTAGTCGCAGCTCGTACCGTAACAAGAAGAAATAAGAAAGAAAAAAAAAAAAAAAAAACAAGCCAATTCGGTGTTCGATGATGAAACATCCGCCACGTTTGAATTGAAATTACAAAAAAATATATATATATTTATTATAATAACTGAAGTATTTGTGAACGTGAATTTGTACAGAAACAATATTCTTTTCTAAATGAAATTATACAAAAACAATCAATTAAGCAATATACAGTATGTACTTAAATAATTAAAATTATTGCATTTTTCAACATTTACATTAGTTTTGAGAAATCTGGAAATCAACAAAATAATACACCGTTTTTTCTAATATGGTGGACTTTGAGAATCTTTAGAAACGACTGCGACTACCCCAAATGGAAACTGAAATAAGTGGGAATTCTAGCTGCTGATAAATCGCATATACATATAATAATAATTATAAGATAATATAAATTTGTATAGAGTTATAGGTAGACACTAAAACTGAACATTAAGCTATGTATGATTGTAGATTATCGATTAAGATCTGGTTGCCTTAGCTATTGTTTCGCTTGCCCCGCTGCTCCTTGCGCCAGGCATCGATGCGCTGCTTCAGTTCAATATTCGGAACCAGCATATCCTCAGTGAGATACTGCCTATTGAACGGATCCGTGCAACTGTTGAGCAGATGACGTGTGATAATTGCACGATCCATCACAGTGCCAGAGGGCAGCACAACTGGATCCGACATTAATGTGTCCATCAGTGGGTCCTTAAACTCATCGGGCGCATCGGCGCACTCATCTTCAGTCTGTTGGTTGGAAACTGTAAATAGACATGGACGAAGATAATCCAAATAATAAACTTAGATAAGGAAAGCGTATTTTAAAGCACATACCATATATTTCGTGAGCCCGCTGGGTGAGCGCTTTGAATCGTTCTACCTCCACGACGGAACGTATCCCAAGGCGTTTGATGCGTGACGCTGCCTCATTGCAAATTTGCAGATCGAATGAGCGTTCGTCGGCAGCCAATGCCTGCGCGAATCTATCACAGTCCAAGTGAAGATATATATCAAAGATTTGGGCCAACAAACTGCGCGGCTCCCAGCCATATTTGGTTGGGTTCTTCACTTTCAGATCGTTGCACTTGGGCCCAGCCAGTTGTTTCAAGTTAAAGTTTAGCATGGAGCTCAGGCGATCAACAAGCTCGGCGCGCATAAACGGCTCCTTGATATCGCTCTACAATAATAGTCAAAATGAATACAAAATTACAATAGCAGCATCCCAAACAACTCACGGTCAAATAATGAAATAGATCAACAGTCTCGCGAGCTAACGTTAAATAGGAACGGCATTGACGCTCATCCGTTGCCAGCTGGGTGAGGCGACTCTGCTGCTGCTCGGCACTCATTCCGCTCCAGCTCTTTACGTCAGACATTAGCTGCTGTGTTAGATGTATGCGCTTAAGATTCTCGAGGCATTCGTCCAGCAAGAAGGTCGTATCGTTCATCAGCATGTTTACAAACTTCACAAACTGATTGCCCTGACGCGACTCACAGATGACAGCCTGCCGATGTATGGGATTCTCCCACATGGATTTAAATAGATGGCTAATGTGGTATCTGAAAGAATGGAAGAACGACACATTTCCAGTAAAGTTCTTTATAGATCTATTCCAGCTTACCTTATAGTAAACTTATCGTAAAACTCAGTGCTTTGGCCAGTGGTCTCCACATCCACATAAAATCGCATTAGCGCGCTGACCAGCGCATTCTGTGCCAGTTCATGGTTCCACATCTATAAGTAAATGAGGATTATGAATTTGCTTTAAATATATCTTTCATTTACTTACCGCTGTATTAACTGAATTGGCTGGCTTTAGGGAGAACACAAACATCACCTCAACCAGTTTGGCAGTTACATAGGGATTCTTGATGAGATGTGAGGCGCAGACGCAGGTCAGCAGCCATGTGATGATCGAATGATCGATGCCCTGTCTGATGTCCACATTGGCATGCTGCATGGCAAACAATATGAACTCGGCAATGTCATCGATGTACCACTCGGGCAGTGCGGAAAATGCGTCAGTCGGTTTTAGTTGCTGCACCGGCAGCTTCGAGATGAACGGACCCTCGATGGGACGTCCCTCGAATTGATAAAGCATAAACTCGCACACAGTCGAATAGAACTCAGTGCAGCGCTGCAGGAGCGCAGGATCGAGGAGCGTTATCTCACTGCATGTCTTGGAGCTGTACAAGAAAATGAGTTTCAACATTCATTAGATGAACATGAAATGTGTTTTACATATTATAATATTTGCATTCCATACCGGTTAAGTTTGCGCAGTTGCTTTTCCCAACGCTCCTTGAACTGATTGTTGCGATTGGCATAACGTGAGTTTACCCAGTGGGGCTTGGTACGATCCAGCTCGTCAATTAGTTTTTGTAGTTCTTTGATGGCGCGCACCTTTTGGCGATAGCGTTGAATCGCTGGCAGATAGCCAAGATGATGAGATTGCAGCGTAAGGAACCAGCATTGCGTCTGGAAATTCACATTCTCCGCTGGCGTTGAGAAATTCTTTGCCAAAAAGTTCTTATACTCCTCCTCGCTGTAACGGATTTTCGTATCCTGCTCGATGTTGACCAGCGAATTGCTGTAGTAGTGGAAATTCGGATCAATGCGATCCAATTTAATCTTGACCGACAACTGCTGCAGCACGCTCATCAGATTGATGACGAAACCATCGCGGGCGAGCAACTTTTCGTCACTGGCGAATTGCACGCGACGATCGTTGTGACGTAGAATTTGAGAAATGTACTCCAGAGTCTTGGGGCGGCTGCTGGCATTGACGCACAGCGAGTGGAAAACTGTATGCATGTGAGTGCGCATTGAGTGCAGTTCCTGCATGGAGAGAAATTCAGACAGGGATGAATATTATAAGAGAGAACAAATAAATATAAATACAGAAGACGTACCCAGCGTAGGCGCGATATCGAGGTTTCCTCAAGTTTGTTTTTGGTCGTGTATTCAGCAAATTTGACGTTCTCCTCGGCAAAGAGGGAGACGGACAGGAAAGGGCCCAGGAAGCTGCACTTCACAATTTCACGTCCCGGTATCTTTGTGCATATGGGCGGTATATAGTTTGGTTGGCGAGCTACCAAATCGGCAATGGGTCGGACATTGCCCACCTTGATGACCACCAACTTGGAAAGCCATTCGATCTGTTGTGTATTGATCTTCGAGCTGCAAATGTTGCGTTGCATGCCACTGAATAGACCGCGCAGCAGTTGACCGAATATTTCGTCGAAAATCTCGCGTTGCTGGTACGTTTCGGCCACCAGGTCAATGAGGAAGGATTCGCTTACACGGTCCATGTACATGAGCTCCAGCAAGGTTGATTGGTCCAGCTGATAGTTGAGGTTCTGCTGGATGCGATCCGTTAAAACTAGCACCGATACTCGCATAATATTTGTAAATGCCATTGTCAAGGCCTTGTGCGTGCTATCGTCCATTGGTTGGCCTACATCGTTGGCCCGGGACCGAGTTAGCTCGGTTTGATAGTTCTGATAGCAACGCAACAGATGTAGCATGGCATTGTGCTTGGAGGTAGTCACTATATTAAGGGGAGGAGGCACCACACAAGTGACTCCAGCATCGCTGGACGTTATCTCAGTCTGGCTGGGCGTCGCACTGGAACTGGCGCCTTGATCCTCTTCGGCGGCGCTGCTGGAGGCCACGGCATTGGCCAGTATTTCCTGGACTTCGGTGTCGTCGCTTTTGATCTTTTTGGCCGAGGAGAACTCCTTATCGTCGCCATTGGCGTCTGTCACACCAGTGGCAAGCGGCGTGTCGCTATCCATCTTCATGCTATCATCCACCTCATCGTTGTAGAACTTAAATGCAGTCTCTAGCAGCACACTGGTTATAATCGGCTCAAATTCGAAACGTAGCTCAGGATATAGCTCCAGAAAGCTGGCAGTTTGCACACAAATGATGGAGCCACTGCCATATTCATTCCATGTGGCATTCAATAGCCTCGATAGCATCTGTTCGTTGCGCTCATCAGCGTTCTTAAGTAATGACGAATCATTTTTGGGCACTTTTTTCTGCGGCTTGGGCTCCGAGTTATGTTGCACAGCGTTGGGCACGCAGATGGAATGTGCACTGGTCATCTCAACGTCATGTATGGGTGTCGATGCTACCGATTTCATTTCCACATCCGTGTCCGGCTTGTTGGCCAGGTCGGACCAGGTTATGGAATCTTTGTCACCCAATGGATTTGTTGTATCCATGCTGCTCGAGCCGGCAGATACCTCGCGCACCAAACGTGATTCACTCGGAACGTTTGCTTGAATCCGTGATGGCTTCTCGGCTGCCAACGGCGCGACAACATTAGCAGCACTCAGGATGCTACTACGCGCCGCCAAAGTGCGCAGCCGTCGAGCACGCATCTGCAAATGGAAAATAGGGCAAACATTAAGCAAAACACACGAGATTATAAGAGATTTGATCGACTTGCCTCTTCGGCGGATAGCTCCGTTACAACGTAATCTGTAGACGATTCGTTTTGCGTCACCGGCATCTGCTCGTCAACATTTCCATCGCTGGCGCTGGGGGACTGTGGTGGCTCCTGCTGCTCATCCATTGGTTTCTGTGGTGGCTCCTCTTCCGGCATGTTGCTTGTTCAGTTGAGCACTTTGGCTGTGTGACCTGGCAGTTCCCGTCTGTTTGCTTGTTGCGTAGTTCTTCTGGGTTAACGAACCAAACAATGAAACGAACCAGAAAGAGAGACAGAGTGAATGTGTGAGAGAGAGAGAATGATCGTGAGAGAGTGACTGGCGATTGAGTGAACTGCCACGCGCATTTAACAAATAAACAACAGTCCAGCGGTCAACGTCAAGTTCACGATAAGACAATGATTCGTTGTCGTTCGTCTGCGCAGCATCCAACTGCCAAAGAGAAGAGTTCTTTGTGATATTAAGATTAACTACGCACTAGTCCATTTCTGACCTATGGCAAAAGCCCCAAAGGAAGACAACTATATTGAATATGCAGCGACTATTTATAGAATCACCGAGCTAAGTCGAACGTTATCTGATTGTCGGGCAGCGCAGCGGCAGCAACAACTGCGAGTGCTGCTACTGCAGGTGCAGTGCACGATATCAAAACAAGTGACAGGCGAATATCGATAACACATTGATGGATGCAGCAACATATAGATTTTTACTAATTGCTAATAATATCCGAACGTAATTGAAATTGGTTTAATATCAGGCATGTTGCGCAATTATTCTTTAAAAAGGCCAAGCAGCTGAATATATATGTATGTATGTAGATTTTTTGACAAGGGCTTTGTTGACAAAATGACAAGACAAAAGTCTATAGTATATGCAATTATTTAAATGCCTAATTACAAAATACGCTAATACAAAATCTTTAGTTTTTATTGCTGTAAGCTTCAGGTGTCAATTTGAAAACAAATAATAAATAAGAGTAAAAGATTTATAAACGCCTAACGCATACCATAACCTAACATACTGTTTATAAATCTCATCGAATGTTTATCAGAACTCCGTAAACAGGATGACTAATAGTTTTTGGTGTCAAAACAGTTACAAGTTTCAGCAGATGTGCTGTAACGTTATATATAACTCTGTTAATTTGTATATATGTACACATATCCCACGTAGCCAACAGATTTCTTGCAGATTGTTTGTTTTTAATTCCTGGTGCGATTATTTTATTTTTGGCAGTAAATGCTATCTGCGCATTTTGTGGCCAGCTCGCTGAACAACACAAAAGAATATACCGAATATACGCACTAGCTTCTGCTTACCTCTAATGGCACTTTCACCTGCCGTCACAATGAGATATTCATGAAAATTGCAAAATGCGGGCAAAGTCTATTGCATTTCGTTGGGCCACTGGCAACGTTTACCGTTTGTGCCCGTTGCTGATCGCAACGCTGCTTCGCCTTTGAGAGGTGGAGGATGATGGACGGTGACACGCACAAAAATTTCTCTTTTGTTCTCGGACAATACCTTTTTGGCCCCGCGATGCCAATATTTACACGTTTCCGTCGAATTTATCCTATTTATGGCTTAACAATCACAATGCTTTATTAGAAACTCGCGTGCTGAGATTTGCACACGTTTGCACACGATTTTTCTTTGATCAATTCTACTTTTAATTTTTAGACACTGCGTCCGTCAAACTAGAACTAGGATTGTTGATATTGTATCGCCAGACTTAATTATTAATGACACACAGTAGCTATCGATAGTTAATACGATATGCTTACGTTAACAGCCGAATGGCAACGGCCCAAGACGAGAAATTATTTTCACACAAGTCAAAGCCATATAACACATGACACAACAATGAATAGCTAATTTTAATATTCAATGTGTCATCAACCAAAGGAATAAAAAGCTTAGAAATAGCTGTCCTTAAACGAAATCGATAGCGCATGACATCTTATATCGATATTCGCACATTCACGATGACAATTAATTCGACAGTTTTGTTCAACAAAAGAAAATCATTTACTCCATATTACAAAAATGTTACAGTTACTTGCGGAACCTAATTCGAATCCTAAAAGCTATATGTTTTTATGCTACTAGAAATCCGTATATCGCTGACGCAGGCTCTGACGCTTGGCAACATTATGCATCTGAAATATTAAATTTATTATTAATTTACTTTGGTAAATAACATTCAATTAGTCTAAAGCACTTACTAGACGTTGTTGCCTTCTTTCACGGTTCTTCTCATAGGCCTTTAACAGATTTGGACACATGCGTCGTATAAAGTCCTCTGATTCCCAAAACAGACCTCCTTGATTCTCATATCGCAACAGATACTCAACCTAAAAATGTATTTAACAATTAAAAACCGTAAAAGTATATTGCTTACTAAGGGAACTTGCCTTGCCCGCCTTTGTCTCCTTGCCTAATACTCGCTCTATGCCGTTCTCCGGCTTGCATTTTTTATAGAAATCATCTTCGTTGTTCTTTTCAGCTCTCACTTCGCGTTCCACAAGCTGTGGCATATCCTCAATGTTCAGTAGGCCGTCGCGGAGTCGCTCACCATTTTGATCGACGCGCCGCACAAACGTCAGCGGATGCTGCTTTAAGTAGTCATCCGCTTCGGCAATTGTCTTGGCCAAGTTAAATTCCTCCTCTTCCTCCTCATCGTGATCCGCATCGTCGCCGCACTCATTGTCATCGTCCTCCACATCCATGCCATCACAGCTTAGATTCGCCTTATTGGCGCTGTTTTGCGCCGAGCGTCTTTTCTTTTTGACACGATTGCCGCCATCGTTTGCTTTGACGTCTGGATGGAATCGGACCTTTTTGACGCGCTGCTCGCAGCTGTCTGTATTACTATGTTGGTCCACCACATCATCTATCAGTGGACCATCAGCGACGTCGTTCGACGTATTCGTTGTTGGGGCAGAGGCCTCTGATTCCGCCAGCGTTGTCTCTTTGAGGTTCTGAGAAATGAGTTTTACTTTCGTTTCAAATGCAGCACTGGCTGCCGTTGTATTGTTATTGCTGCTGCTGCTGCTTTTAAACGCCGTCGAATTTTCACCAATGGTCGATTCAGCGCTGGACACATCAGTCTTTGGTTCGCCAGGTGGCGACTCTCTTAGTGCAGCGGAATCCCTGCTGCAGTTGTCTGTCTCCGCTGCGGGCTCCGTTGTTGTGGGGCTTGTCTCGACCATTACACACTTCCTTTGCATTGATTTGTCCAGGGAGTCGCTGCCACCAGAGTCATCGTTGGACTTCGTATCCATGTGTGGCAGGTGTAACGCGTCCTAACAAAATTTTTTATTGCAAACAAATCTGTTGTGGAGCAAATCTGGCATTGCCATTCCGATATATATATATATATCGATTAATTGTTTTAGAAAGCAAATAAATATATGGCGCTGCCAACTTGCTCAAATTTTGTTGGGATATTATTCAAAAAAAATCAGTTGATAAACTTAATAAGTGTGTTTAAATAATGTAACAGAGTATATAGGTTTATTTTAAATAATGGCATACCTTCCGAGTTTCTAAAAAATTTGCAATTTGCAATATATTTTTACAGCAATACTTGCATATGTAACTTTCTTTAGATTTCGACAGCTCTTAGTTTTGATGCGGAAAATTTATAATTTTAATTTATAAAGTCATCTTTGACTCAGAAAAGGCCTTCAAACTACATACATTTACCAAGTAAAAATGACATCAACTAAAATTTTTTCTTTGTATTATATATTCTCAAAATAAAGTTATAAACATCAAATTGTGGATATTTTTACTAGAGTAACAGACGACTTGATTTTGAAGAAATGTTCTTTGTTGTTGTTGTTGTTGTTTTTCCATGGCGCTTCAGACCTGATTTCTTTCTAAGCCTGTTGCTAACAAGAGCCGCAACGCGGACCACCGCAGCAACCACGATACGGTGGACAGGGAGGCACGCAGCTGGTGCGACAGCAGGGCGTCGTGGGGCAACCTGTCCAATAGTTAAAACAAAAGTTTGTGCACTGAATGCCAGCGGGTATGCCGCAACAGCCGCCCGGATGCCAGCACATGTTAAAAGCTTACGGAAATAGGTGTGAAAATTTGCCAAAGAATTTCTTATTGATGTTTCCAACTTTGTGGCCCGAAGTGTTGTACCAGCGTCAGAGTCGGTAACCAAAATTTGTTATTGATATCTGTTTTAAAATGAAAAAAGCCAATTATATTATACATTAATAGTTAAATGCGTTAAATTTACTTGAATCTCAACCCAACATTGAACGAGATCCAAAAAGATGTAAAAATATTTTTGCTGTGCACACAACGGAGTACAAAACTGGAATGAAGAAATTTCACATTTGTGCAGGCAGCCAGAATGTTTTTAAAATTTTTAACTATTCAGAGCCAACTGGGATTGAGATGATTTATGCAGATGTAATAATAATACTCTATATTTAAAATAATTTAGACATGCTGTTTCTATTGATGGTATAGCCAGTGCTGCCCATTTCTTTGGCTAACGCAAGCGCCTTTCCAGTACTGCAAAACGGCAAAAGCACTTGGTAAAATTTTTTTGATGTAGTCGAAAACAAATACGATTATTATTAAAATGCGTTTATATTAATTTAATAATTGTATTTAATTGAAAATATATTTGATCAATGCGTATGTACAGTTACTTTGAATACAGTTCATAAGTTTCTATGACAACATTTTGTATGGAAATCGGTAACAGTTCAAAGAATTTCTTGTAAATAAAACTAAATAAAAGCTGTAGAATTCGTTGTAAATGCAACTTGTGTAATTTTTTTATTATTTCATTTTTTTTATTTATTAACAATTTTTTTTTTGTACATTTTCTTTGTTTAAATTTATAAATGTGTGTGTGTGTGTCTGTGCATAGTAAACAAAAACTAAGTTATATACACTAAACTAATTAGAAATATTTTATGTTAAAGACTATTTCCATAAAGATATAGATATATGTATATACACATACATACGTATATATGCATGTATATCAAAGGCGGTTGCATTTATTAATTCAATTAAGTTTCTGTATAATCTGCATATTCTGTTTTGTTTTTCTTATATTTTCATATTTTCTTTGTTTTGTTTTGTCTAAGTGTTTCATTTTTTTAAACTATTTAAATATGGCCCCGCTATTCCACATGTGTTCATTTCCTTAGATTTTATGATAACTGCTGCTGTTTTTTTTTTTTAATTTTTTTTTTATTTTTTTAAGTGTAGTTTTTACTTTTTATTTTGTTTTTTTTTTGTTGTTGCTTTTTTTGAACAATGTTTGTATATAGTTAAGCAAAACCATTTGAAACTTTTAATTTTAACTATAAATTAATAGCTATAGTACTTATCGAATATGAATATATATGTATGTGTGTGTGTTTGCTGCCAAAAATAAATTGTAAATTGCAAATATTGCAATTATTTAAAGTTTATCAATTTTAATTTTTGTTTCTCATTTCTTTTATCAGCTGTTGTAAATATTTATATATTTATCTATATATAATTTTTATATAGTACTATATTCATTGAATGATATTTAGTATTTTTGTATTTAAATTAAATTTCTCCTTTTTATTGTTGTTTTTAATTTACAATATTTAATAATCACAGTTCCCATTCAAAAACAAATTGTTTGCAAGACGAATTTTGAATTTGTTTTTAGTTGTTGTTTTAGTTCTAGATTTTTGTTTTCTTAATTTTTGATTTTGTCATGAACCAGTTTGGATTTCTTTGAAACGCTTTTGGATCTTGCCTTAGAGCTAGGTTTATTTATATATAATTTTTGATCATATATGAAATGGAAATTTTAATTAAATTTTGGGAAAAATACAATAAATAGCTAATATATTTAGCCACTGGTTAAATTAATTTTTCTTTTGAAATTAATTGTTTAATTTACTTTTTATGAAACAACTTACAGTTACATTTAAAAGTGCAGGAACATGTCCATCTGTGTGTGTGTGTGTGTGATTTTGTTAGTAACAATTAAACAATAATTGGTGCTTAAAACAAAATTCGACAACTAATTAAAAAACCAATTAAAAACAAACAAAAAACATTAACAAGCCCCAAAAAAATGAATTCAAATAATCAAAATAATAATAATAATAATAATGATAATAATAATAATAACATAAACATTTATGCAATACGTCAAATACAATAATTATAGTTTGGTCCCGGCCACGCCTACTTGCGGTACAGGACTTTGCCCGTCTTGGCATTGACCAGTATCATCTTATCCGCTCCCTCCGCGCACGGCTCTGACGCCGTTGTGGGCGTGGCAGTCGCTGCATTGCCACGTAAGCTGCGTCGCCTCAGGCGATCACTGATATTCTCCACGCGCTGCTTATCCTCCTCCATGGTGGGTGGCTTCACGCTCAGCTCGCCATCATTCTTGTAGAGAATGAGCTTAGTGCTGGGCTTTGTTTCAGGCTCGTGCTGCTGCTGCTCAGGCTGCTCGGCATCTGACTCCTGCTGCTGTTGCTGCACATTGGCATTGAGTACATTGTCCTGGTTGTTGTTGTGCTCCGTCTGCTCTTTGTCCGCCTCCTGGGAGTGTTGGGCGTCCTGCTCCACACTGATCTCCAGCTTATCGTAGCAAGTGAAAAAGTCCACGGATTTCAGCTTCTCGCTGGCATTAAAATGCACTGCCGTGTGCTCGTCCAGCTCGGCCTCCTCCACGGCATTGTAGTCACAGTGAGCGCACTGCGTCGCCTCCGCGCTGGGCTCATTGATGCAGGCATGCTTCTGCAGATGCTGCTGCAGTTCCGCGTGCTGCAGCGTCTCGAAGGGACAGTGCTGGCAGCGCAGCGGCGTTGGCGCCGACTGCGGCATGTCCAGGGAGCCAGCATCGCTGCTGGCATCAGCGGCCAGGTCACTGGTGGCCACCGAAGCGCTCGTCGAGGGCGTCGAGCTGCTGTGCCGCTCCTCATCGGCATCCTCTTCGGCCTCCTTGACCTTGGGTGGCGGCGTCAGCTCACGCACCACCGCACCGCCGCCACCGCCCGACTCCAGTTGCTTCTTTAGCAGCGAGTTTTGGCCGTCGTAGCTGCTGCCGATGGGGCTGGACGCACCGAAGGCACTCTGACGCAACAGCTGGGCGCCCAGGTCATTGTCCACCACCCAAATGGTCTCTGGTCCGCTGATTTGCAGCAGCTTGGGAGCCGGATAGGCAACATCCTCCTTGCAGTTCCTATAGAGTTGCTGACACTTCTCCTGGTAGTGCGACATGTGCACCGCCCGATGCAGCTGCAGCAGGGTCTCGGCGCCAGCACGATACTCACAGTACGTGCAGACGTACAACTCATCCGCCTCCTGCTCGCTGGGCGCATGCGCCGCCAAGTGCTGCTCCAGCTCCAGCTTGGCGTTGTGCTCATCGTTGTGCTTCTGGGCGAAGCGAGCTGGACAGCGTGGACAGTAGCTGATGAGCTTATATTGATATTCCGGCGGCAGCTGCTGCGTCTGCATCTCCCCGGCAGAGCTCTCCTCCAGCTGCATTTGGCTCAGATCGATGGCCAGCGGCGCTGTGGCGGGCAGCTGCTGCACCTGCTTGGCGGCCGCCAGCTGCAGCGCCACACTGAAGTCCAGGCCAGCTCCGGTGGCGGCAGCGGCGGCAACGGCGGCGGCGCCCAGCTGCTGCTGGTGCACGCTGCGCATGTGGCTGCTGAGATGCTGCTTCTTGGCGCAGACAAAGGTGCACAGCTGGCACTCGTACTGCGTGGGCTTGTGCAGCGAGACGTGGTAGTTCATCTGGGACTTGCTCTCCGAGATGTATGGACAGACGGGGCACTTTTGTTGCTTGCTCTTCGTGTTGTTGTTGTTGTTGGGCAACATATCTTGGGCGCTGTTGATGGCAGCTGCTGAGGGCAGCCGAGTGATCTCGATTTGATCGTTCTGCTGCAACTGGACGAGCTCCTCGGCGCTGCCAGCGCTGGCCATGGCATTGGCCGCCTTATAGGCAGCGGCCCAGCAGGCGGCCGCCACCTCCAGATCCTGCTGCGTGTTGGCTGCATTCACCACGGCTGCGGTGCTGGCGGAGAGGGGCGAGTGGAGCAGCTGCTCCAGCTGCTTGCTGCTCAGTAGGCCGCTGATGCTGTTGTTGTTGTTGTTGTTCTGGCTAGGCTTGTTGTTGTTGTTGTTGTTGTTGCTGTTGTAGTTGAGTGCTTGAGACTCGTTGCTGGCGCCGGCGCCCTGCGGACGGTAAATGGGCGCAGCGCTGCCGCCGTTGCTGCTGCGCTCAAGGGTCTCGATCCGAATATCCCCGGAATGCTTTAAGCGACAGTGCCGCTGTAAGTGAGAAGAAGCAGAATGCGAAAAAATTGCATAAATTAGCAAATTGTTGATCTATTCAAATAAGATGTTGCCAGCGTATTTCTATGTATGTGTGTGCGAGTATGTGTGTGTGTGTGTGTTTGCGAGGGTATTTAGCAGTTGAAGCAACAGGTGCCACAGCTCCGTGAAACTGTGGAACTTTTCTTTAAGTTGACAGCGCCTTCCAGTTAGCATTCAATAATACTGGGAATATTTATAGGAATTTTCAAATTTCCCTTGTGCATTCTTAAGGCTGCTTAGACCGTTCAATTGACGAAATTAATTAGACTCCATTGAGGAAATTAATTTGAAAGTCTTTCTGCTGAACAGAAAATAATCGGAATATTAATTTGGTCTCTAATAAATAACCAACTTTATGTGTAATGTTGCACAGTTGCGGAAGTTGATAATTCAACTGGAGAAATTATTTTGAAAACTTTTTCGTGGAGCAGAATATTTAAAAATACTGGGATCTTTTACAAAGTATTTAAAGTTCTCAAATATATGTTTAATATTACAAAAAGATATAATAATTTGATTGGGGACTTTCTGTCGCAAATTATTGGGAATATTCAGACAATTTTGTCAAGTTTCCAGTTCTAAGGGTAGCAAATAAAATTAAAATAAAAGTTGCTTTACTTCCAAATACCCTCTATTCAAATATGCCTTTAAATATGTATTTTATATATATAAATATATATATATGTGTGTGTGTGTGTAATGTATGTATGTGTACTTTGGATGGGGAAACCCAAACGAAACACGCGCACCGTATGATTTCTTAACTAGGCCCCCTGCATTTTGGGGGGGTTAGCTTGTTGTATGATATTTGTATTTTATTTTTTTAGGAGATGGTTTGAATTGAATTGGTAAATGTAATTTACATTAGTTTCGAGAGCAAGCAAAACTATCACCAATGAGTTCTTATAAATAAACGTAAATGTATAGCTAAATCGTATAGAAAAACATACAAAAAGTTAACCAAACAAACATTATGGAAAAATATAGTAGAAGCAAAACCCAGACACCACACATTTAACATTTAGCATTAAAGATTTTTTTTTTTAATTTTGTATACAGGAAAATAAAGACAAAATGAAATTTTGTTTGCATATTTACCAGCGTTACTTAGGGACTACAGACAAAGATGATCTGCTGAGCAGGGGGCGGGGAACAGATGTACAGATGTCGCTAGCTAAATTTTAAATGCGGCTGCTTAAGTGACGGACAAGTTTTAACTATTTTTCTAGAATTTCTAATTCTATTTGCATAAGATTTAAAAAATAT